TCTAGAACTCTCTGTTCGTAGACTTCAATTGGTAGGTGCTCTAGGTGGATCAAATTGAATCTGAACAATTCTCTGGACACTTGATCTAATTCCCAGAAGAAGCCTCGAGCAGCTGCAAATGTGTCCATGAGTAAGTGCAACATATTGACGAAGTTGAGAGATTTCAAAAGCTAGGCTGTTGACTGTTAGAACTAGTTCTTCTAGTTCAGAGATAGGAGAGGATGAGGCTGACGAGTCTTTGTAATACTCAGTTTCTATGTCGCTATGGGCAGGCAGGGGATTCATGGTAGCGTTGACAGGTACTGCAACGTGTAAGTCTCTGTTGTTGAGGGTGTGGTGGAATTCTTCGAGGGAACGGTGTTTTTCTTCCGTTACCAGGTTCTCTCTGATGTTTGACAATTGTAGAAGTAATCAAAGATAATGGCTATGGTAAGAATCTGAGCAAGAACGAGTGAAAGTATTACTTCAAGGTGGGTAGGAATGTTTGAAAAAACAAATAGCTAGCTTAGCTAGAAAGCAAGTTGGTGTTTTTTGGTGATAGGAGGACGGTGAATGACAGCACGTCCAAGAGAAGAAGGAAAAGGTAGATTTAGGGCTATAATGGGTTTAAGCGAGATGGTACACTGTAAACAGATTGTAGGGTGAGCTTTCTATTTTGTGAGGCAATGTTAAACTATAACAAAAACAATACCCGTCTCTGACTGCACTTGTAGGGAATAAGAGGTACAATGAGCTTGAGGTCAACAGATGCTAGCAAATATAGCAGGTAAAGAACTTGGGAATAAACTCAGAGGTTTCTGGTGAGGAGTAAAGCGGGTAATTGAAGTAATAGAAAGCTAAAAAAACTATACATGAATGTGTAGGGCTTATATAGCTAACCATCTATCCCTCAGACCAAAAGAGGAATAAAAGAAAAGTGGTCTGAGGAAGAAATCAACCAATAAAAAAAAGAAAAACTATTGTACGACTTTTAAGAATTAATCAGCAGGTGAGAGAATGTACTAATAATAAGTATTATTATGCGTGTTCAGGAACCGTATCCTCATGATGAGTACAATCCTGACTAAAGTGTTTATTAATATCTCCAGGCACTGATGGGGCTTGGAGCTGGTTGGCGAGATATCTATCACCGGCCCTTACCCATTGTGCTGGCTGGCTGGGAGTACTACCCAGTCTCTGATCTGCAATACAAAGTGATAATGATGGTTAAGAAAGCCTGTGAGGGCTATGAGAAGCAAGATAGCAAAAGATACCTCTAGCCCTAGAGCCAGAGGTGTAACAGCAAAGGTGTTCAAGAACCAAGACATGGAACGAGAAGATAAGAAAATAAGAAAATATAAATGGTCCTTACAAACTTCTTGCTGTGCTGCATCTCCCCAAACATCAGGCAAACATGATATAAATGCAATTTATTTCATTTATATGCTGTAATAGCAAAAATATCTCTTATATCCATAAGTGTGAAACTTGCACAGTCCCTTACTCTAAACTGCATAAATACCAATAAATATCTTTTTTATTGAAATATATGCAGTTTAGAGTATTGCTATATCATCAAAAGTGGTTTATAGCACAGTCATTAAAACAAAAATGACCTTGCACTTTTTCACTATAGTTTACTATAATTTACTCTAAATACAATCATAATAATCCATACTCAATTATATCCAAAAAAAAAGCACTAATAAAGCAAATTATATTGATTCTAAATATTTAAAATGCTGCAGCACTATTGTAGTATCTGTAATTATGATTTGGATGCTTTTGCTGCTCCCTCTAAAGCTTTGAAATTAAATATAAGCTCAGATGCATCAGATTACCCCACTGTTATACAATCATTCCTACAAAAATAAATGAGGTTAAAAAAAGGTTTGAATGATAATGAATTTGTAGTAAGCTCTTACCAAACATATTCATCAATCTCATCAAATACAGCTGCCAAGTATGTAGGAGAACATTTCTGAAATATTTCCAACAACCTCATATGATGATTCCACCTTGTAAAAGTATAATTAGTATAGATTTATGGTGATTAAGGTGATGTACCTAGCAGAAAATGCTGTCTCTGAGAATTCTATTGTAGTGTTGTTAATAGCACCTAGCAGAGCACATTAAATCTGGTAAATAAATTTGATCGTCATTTTTATTTAAAGAAAGATATGAACACTTACAGAGCATGCTACTCGAGCCAAAGTAGGAAGATTGCGTAGATATGGGTTATTTTTTCTACCATACTTTCTACCTTCACCTTTGGGGCCCCATCATTGTGCTTGAAAAAGAATTTTGATGATATTATTCTTCCAAGGTTGGTTTGTGTCAGACATCTTCTCCTGTATATTTGCAGTTAGTATAAGTATAACAATAAAGCTTTAAAATTACTCACCTTTAAATCTATGCTGTTATTGATAAAAGCTCCTGAGTTTATGATCCAATAGATTGTATCACTTAGTCTGTCCTTGTGGGTGTTTTTGATGCCATACGTAGGGGGTACACTGATTTTAGCTTTGGAAATAAGTTCCCCTATGACCTGTGTAGAACCTTTCCACATCTGTATTTACGGTAATAATCAGTATGGATATATATGTACTCACATATTGTAGTAGTTGAAACTTGAGGACCTGGTCGTCTTGTATCTCCTTCATTCTGTCCACTAGGCCACTGTCATTTTCTGCTGCTGTGGCTTTGACCAACAAGTCCCAGCATATTGATTGATGACTGAGGGGTTTTGGAAATCCTTTTTCTGTGACTGTAAAAAGTCTCATAGCTTTGTGAGCCAGACTTGCAATATGTTTGATGATAGGGCAGGCCATAGAATGAAGCTTTGGTTTTGCAGTGGAAGATTTTGGAAGAGAAATGATGCTGGGGCTATGTGACATAGTAGACATAGATGTAGGAACAATTGAACAATTTGTTCCTCTTACACATCAGGAAAAACTGTTACGATAACACAATTTTTGGACCTTTCCTTTAATTTTCATTCTCCACTTTAACCTTTTACTATAGTTCACACTCCGTGCCATACAGCACTTTCCTTTTTTGTTCTAACTCCACCTTCTCGCGCAGCGCTGCCTTTATTCTTCTTTTAGACTCAAACTCTCTCACGCAGTGGAGCTGGTCACACAGGCTGCACCCTCTGACATCATCAGCCACTGCCTTTATCAACTGTACAGTACATAGGTACAAACACTCTGTATTAGTATAAATACCCCAATAGATCAAGGAGACTCCTCAGCGAGTCCTCCTGTTGTATACCAATAAACTCTCTGCAGCTTAAGGGTTGACCACTCCCTCATCACTACCTTTATAGTGTGTCCCTGTGTGTGCCAGAGTAACTAACTCTTGGTTGTTACAAAAACCATTTTGCTATATAGCCAAGCATGTTTCTATGGCTTCTATGACAACTAATGTATTACTATAATAATCAAGTTTTTTCTATAATAAATAGCATAGCTGCTATGGTAGCTATAGCAGCTATAATAGCTTGTTTCTATCTTTGGGAATTTCATTTTGATTATGATGAAAACACCATTATTACTCACTAAATGGTTTGGCATGTGTGTAAGCCTGATTATTTATGTAATAGAAGTCTATTACATATGTTCCAAATACTGTCTATACATTTCAGCAACCAGGCATTGCTATAATAGATGCTATATGCGCTATAATAGCTTGTTAATTTCTATGAGACATTTTTCTGGTGCTGATGAGAATGCCCCTATTATTCATACAATGGTTTGGTATGCAGGTAATTTAGCCTAACAGTTTTATTAAAAAATCTATCACAAATATCCAAAATATTCAATTGTACAGGTACTAGAGAACACTATTGATATTGCATCAAAGTTGAAGTGTCTTGCTTGACGCACAAGGATGAATTTAAGCGGAGTTTGAATATGTGGCACCAAAGCAAATCTTCCAGCAGTTGACTTTGAACACTATAATTGAGTGTGTGAAAATGGACAGTGTCACTGTCCATTTTCACACGCTTCTCAGGATTAGATTAGATTTGAGTGCCACATTTTTTTCAGAGTCAGCTCTTGATACATACATGGCACTAGTGTGATGTTACATGTCACATCACAATGGTACACCATTGCACTTCAGAGTCCTGCACATCCTTCTTTCCTTTTAAGTTGCAATAACATTAAGCTAATAGCATACTTGTTAAGTATGCTATTAGCTCTAGGTATATTTTTTTCCAATAACTATCTTATAAGGTACTGAAATTAGCTCTGCTCTATTCACAGTGGCCACTGGCACCAATGCCATATTGATACTAGTACCCAACATATCCCACCACTACATCATCAGCTGGTAGTAGCAGCATACACTATTGCTTCAATTATCACTAAGGTATGTTACAACTACTCCAAAGTGTGTTTGACCACCTTATCTTTTTCTGAATAGGTGTGAATAGGTTAACAAGCTAAAGTACGTTCCTCCATTTATATCTATACCTATACTTATAATCACTTACCAGATGCTTGTACTATTCATCAAGGCTTGACAAACTATAAAGAAAACTTATCAAGTTATTCATGAAATTCTGTGAGTATTGTCAAAGTGTATTTATACAATAATATTGAATGTTGTCTATAGTGAATAAGTATCTTAAGACCAAACAGGAAGTTGAGAGAAATTTCTAGTTTGTGGGGGTTCACTTCATTACAATAGTTTACTCTATGCATGTCATACAATAGTATTAGGAATAAATTCTGACAGTTTGCTATATGCTATAGTAAAAGTAAATTTAGTATAATTGATTTGAAACAAGAATCCAGAATTATGATATCTTTTATACTCTATGAAAGCAGCCATAGTAAAGGCAACAATGTATATCACAAATGTGCTACTATAGCAGGCATAGCAAATGGCTCAAAATAGTGCTGCTATATAGAGCTATATAATAGGGACTTGTCTAGGTGTACTATAGCTACTATTTTCCCTATATAGCACTATAGTGGCTATGATAGCTATAAAAGGCAACTAGGTTTTTCTTCCTAATGGCCAACCTGTAGGCAAGTAAATAAATGTTCTCAAGGCAACAATATTCTTACCTCATTATCATCCACAACTCTTTTTGGGGAACTGTCCTCCTCCTCCTTCTCATCATCATCATTGTCATCATCTAATAGAGGCTGTAAAGGAGGTACTACAGAACTATCTTGATCATCACTAGATATTTCTGCAGGACCCAGAATATGATCTATCATATTCTTGCCATCATCAGCATTGTCATCATCAGCATTGTCATCATCATCAGCAACATCCTCATTATCATTGTTGTCATTATCATCACCATTCAGACATATTTTCTTGCCATGTAGGTCGTCTCCTTCAGAATCTTCTTCATCAGCCAACATTGCTGCTACTCTCTTACGCGTAGCTGCAAATAGGTATTCAGTTTTTGTGCTCTTAAGAGTAAGATCACATACCAGATTTCTCTGCCTCAGCTTCTGAGGCTAATGCAGCCTTTTTTCTTGCTAGAAGAGCCCCAAGCAAATTTTCATCTTTTTTGCTGAGTGCTGTGGCAGCTGTGGCATCAGGTCTTGCAGAAATAGCCTGAAAATTGTAAATAGTAAGGTATTGGTGTAGAATAAATAAGAAAGACCTTTTTATTTTGACGTGGCTGGGGCTGTCTAGGCTGAGTTGAAGGAGGTGGTTGTAAAAGCCTTATCCCCTATACCGAACTAACGGAGGGATGAAGACCTTAAATCGACAAGTAGCGTCACAAGTAATCGATTGAGAAGTAATCAACAACTAAGGAAAATATGTACATGGGTGTTCACTATATATACATTTCTGAGAGTCAGCCATGAGGCGCTGTCGATGATGAGAACTGCAGTTAGAAAACCACACACAAAACAAACTAACACACAATCCTCCCAGATTCCACGGAACTTGTTTATGGGCTTTGCCTCCTAGAACAGTGGAGTGGTCTGGTTGTTCGTGGGGTGGTACGTATAAAGATCCTTCAAAGTAAAACCCAGAGGTGTATGAGTGTGGGTTTTGAGGAGGAGGGATAGTTGAATTTATAGAAGGATAGGGGCTTGGTGACGAGTATAGACGAGCACTACCTTGCTAATCGTAGCACAAGGTAGGTTTGAGAACGACAATATGACGAGGTTCCCAGTGATAGCAGGCTCCTGACGCACAAACTGTAGTGCTCAGAAGGACTCTAATCGAAGGGGATGACAATCACTTTCAAAAAGTGACGAGTGACGATGACAGCAGTTAACAGTGGTAGAAGTGGGAAGTGTTGTGACCACTCTGGATCACAAGTAGTAGAGTAGTGAACTTGAGAGTAGAGAAGAAGTCTGGATTGGATTACTTGTTGTTGTTTTTTTTTACAAGGTAAAATACAGGGGTTTATATAGTAAAAGAAAAGTAGGCTATGCACAGTATAGCTGTGCAAAAAGAATGAGAAAGAATATGAAGGAAGGAATGTACGCTGACGAATCCTGCGTAGGTAGTACAGGATAAGATTGTCAAAAAAAGGAAAAGAAAGGGATAGAACAATAAATGCTGTGAGTAATGTCACAGGTTTGTACAGCCATAAAGTAAAGTCCAATAGCAAAAGGAGAGCAGGAAAATCATGATGTCATGGGAAGATGCAGTAAAAAAAGGGCAAGGCAAAACACTATCAGTATCAACACAGTTCCTTTATTGTCAGTCAGGCATTCTAAAAAAATATGTGTCCATAAAAATGATTCAAAAATCAAAAATAATCACACTGTAAATGAATGTTCTGCTGAAAAAAAAGAAACTGGAGCCACCGGTCCACCACCTAGTCCAAATCCGACAGTTCCATGGCCTTACCAATGGACTGGTTGTGTTGGACCACCTGGTCAAACGAGGGAGGGAGAGGAGTAGTTCCAATTTGGAACAAGTGAGTCCCAGGCAGCGTGTGGTAGGTGTAGCTGTAGCGAAGACAATGGACAAAAGATAAGTGTACCCAAGTGAATGGGACAGCGATGAACATGGGCGACGCAAGGGGATGAACCTTCTCCAGCTCAAAAACTACCCACCCACGCTCCAACCAGGCAAGACGAGCGACTGATGTTTTGATAGTATATGATGGCAGATCGACGTCATGAAGATGGACCTGTTGCCCTATTTGGACCGGCCGCCGGGGCTTTGCTGATATCAGCAGTGGCACGTGGTAGTCAACGGATCGGCGACGGAAGCGGATAGGAAGTGGTGACATCAGAAATGGTGGGGGTGCAAATAAGATGAGGAGGAGGAGGGTGGAGGTGATGGAAAAGTGGATTAGAATGGGGATCCAGAAACGACCGTCAGGTGAGAATAAAAAGGAGAGGAAGGGGCCCATGGTGGGGCTAGGCAAAGGAAGGGGAGTAAGGGAAACAACAAAAAGCGAGGGCGCAATGCAATGTGTAGCCAGTGGCGACGCGAAAATTTGCCGAAATGCCGAAATGCGGAAAGTACCGGATGGAAAAGCAAAGGTGAGCGTGACTGGATTGCCTAATAGAGGTGGTGCTGATCAGCCACAAGTTCGAAAAGGGCAATATTAATTACTATTCCACGTGGCACTGTGCCTGTGTGGCGCAAAGGCAAGTCTTTTTGAATATTCGCTTCGTTATTGACACCTGTCCATGCTACCAATCAACTTTGGTGCATGACAGCGCTGACTGATATAACATGCAGTAGCCATGAGGCGCTGACTGATGTTCTTTGTAATAGTTCTAGGCTCTTGTCACGTGATGGTCACGTGATCTGGTATAACTAAGTATTATGTTATCCGCGCTAATAGCAGCAGCTTAACATATTATATCTATTCATGTGATTAGATATTAAAGAAAATGAAAAAGAAATTAGCGCTCTTGTTCAGGTCGTGACATTACCCCCTCCTTAGGACTTTCATCTCAAAAGTAGGGGTCCATTTTTCCGTTTTCCCAATTGAACAGTTGTTTTCGGACTCTGGTCGTTGTGAAGTTTTCGAACGGTTGGAAATGTAACTGGAATCGTATCCGTCGGGGTGCACTAGGGTTGTTATTGTGGAATGTTTTTACTTTGTCTGGTGAGTTGTTTAGGTGTTGTTTGGGTTCCCATGTGCGTTCCTCTTTTGGATAATTCTTCCAATGTACTAAATATTCCAATTTTCCTCTTTTTAGACGTGAGTCTAGAACTTCTTCGACTTCATATTCTTCTTGTCCGTCTACTATTACCGGCGGTATCGGTTTAGGTTTCTGTTGGGAAGGAAATTGTGGTTCTTTGTATGGCGTGAGTTTTATCTCATTAAAGACCGGATGAATGGGCCGCCATGTCGGTGGTAATGCTAGTTTATAGGCCGATTCGCCTATCTTTTCCAGTATCTCGAACGGGCCGTGTCTCTTATCGTCCAGTTTCTTAGCTGGTCGATCCGTTGAGATATTTGTTGCTTCCACATACACCTTATCTCCTACTTTATATTCCACTGCTTCTCTTTTCTTCTTATCGTACTGCCTCTTCATCTTTTCAGCTGCCTTTTGCAGCGACTCTTCTGCTTTCTTTCTCGTTTCTGTCATTCTTTTTACGAAATCCTCCGCATTTTCGTTCTTCACCCCCACTTTCACTACTTCCTGTGTTCTCGGATGATGTCCATGATTCAAGAAGAACGGGCTATATCCCGTCGCAGAATGTTGTTTGTTATTGTAGGAGAATTCTGCTAGGGTAAGCCATTCTGCCCAATCATCTTGTTTATGGTTTACGAAGATTCTGAGATACTGCTCTATTTCTTGATTGATCCTCTCCGTTTGTCCATCCGTTTGTGGGTGCCAAGCCGTTGATGGGTTTGCTTTTATCTGAAGAAGTGTATGTAGATCTTTCATGAATTTTGAAAAAAACTGCGGTCCTCGATCTGAGATGATCTTTTCGGGTATGCCGTGGTTTCTGAATACATGATCTCTAAATAATCGTGCCACTCCTTCCGATGTGATTTCCATCTGCGTGGGAATTACCTTGATCATTTTTGTAAACCGATCTACTATTACCATTATCATGTTATATCCATTTGATTCTGGTAATGGTCCGATCAGATCTACCGATATGATCTGCCACGGTTTATCCGGGATCTTGTTTGGATGGAGCGGTGCTGCTTTCTTTTTATGGTCTGTTTTGGTTCTTTGGCAGACTTCGCATCCATCTACGTATCTCGTGATATCTCTGTCCATATAGGGCCACCAGTATTGTCGAGTGATTAGCTCTTTTGTCTTATATCTTCCTGGATGACCTGCAATGACGGAGTCGTGGTTTCGTCGGATGATTTCTTCCCTTAACGCGGCATCTTTTGGTACATAGATTCTGCCCTTGAATACTATGCAACCGTCTTCGTCTAGCCATCCATCCTCTCTCCTCTCTATCTTTCCTTTCATTTTTTTTATCAGTTCATCCACGTTTCCTTTTCTCTTTGCAATCCATTTTGAGATCTCTAGCTCTCTTTCTTGGCTGTCTGCGATCTTTTGTCTTTGTTCTGGAGAGAGAGTCATCCTTACAAATAGTTTCTCATCCAGTAGCACGACGTCTTCGTTGTCGTTTTCTCCTTTGTTATGATCCGATCGCCTCGAGAGAAGATCTGCTTTTATATGCTTTCTTCCTGGCATATGATGTATCGTGAAATGATACTGGCTTAACTCCGTCATCCACCGCGCCTGTCTCCTGTTTAACTTCTTTGGTTCTTTGAAATACAGCAGATTTTGATGATCTGTCCATATCTCAAATTCCTCTTCTGCGTCTATTAAGTAATGTCTCCATTCGTTAAGTGCCGTCATGATGGCAAGAAGTTCTTTGTCATAGATCTCGTAATTGCGTTCTGTGGGGTTTAACGCTTTGGAGAGGTATGCAATTGGCTTCCAGTCATCCTTTTGTCTCTGTGATAAGACAGCACCCATAGCGAAGTCACTACTGTCCGCTTCTACTTTGTATTGGCCATGTGGTACTGGGAGAGCTAACACTGGGGCTGAAGCTATGCGTTGTTTCAGTGTTTTAAATGCTTCGCGTTGTTCATTTCCCCAAATGAAATCCTCTTTTCCCGTTAACTTGGTCAATGGTTTGGCTACTTCCCCGAAGCCTTCTATGAATCTTCTATAGAAATTTACAAATCCCAAGAATGCTTGTATCTCCTTCTTATTTTTGCACTCTGGCCATTTGCTAATTCCTTCTACTTTTACCGGATCCATGCGAATTTTGTTCTCTGAGATGATCAGTCCCAGGTATTCTACTTCTGTCTGTTCGAAATCGCATTTTTCTGGTTTAAGATAGAGATGATTCTTTCTTAGGATTTCTAACACATGTTGCGTCGTTGCTCGGTGCATTTTTATATCCTTGGTGAATATCATAATATCATCTAGATATATGATCACTAACC